TTCAGAGAGCTTACTGGATGCTGGAAGTCTGTGTTGACTTTTCTTCCTGAGAAGAGAAGCAGACTGGAGGTCATGTCTGCTGTCCATAAATGCACCTTCATGACTTCTGCTCTTTGGGTAAGCTGAGGGAGCAGCTCTATCCATCAGCTCTATTGAGCTTTTTCGTACTGTAATTTAAAAAAAAATACACTCAGTACAGAGACAGGAATGGAAATGAATCACCATTGAGTGATGAGTGTGTTCTATTGGGAGGGAAAGAGTTTGAAACTCCAGCTCTTCTTCAGAAGGCTGTGTATTTTATCTATTTGTGTGATGGACATTTCATCTCACATCCCAAGGCTTCTCCACTCCAGCACTGCACCAATTACCTGCCAATCAGACTATCAGATTAGTACACACACTTTTTTTGGATGCCACCTCTGGTTTCCATGGAAACTGTTTTAAGCCTCATCCTCTCTCTCAATTAGAACTTTTTATAATTTCTCCACCCTTATGAAATCATTTGTGGTTCCCATGGTAATCACTGAAAATTTGTTATCTCTCAAGTACTGCTTCTTAATCAGAGGCTTTACCAATGGCAATGTCCTGCTGGAGAAGTAAAAGGCACGAGAAGGTTCTAATCCTCTTTTGGAGTGAGTAGTGTGTCCTTTGTTCATCCTTAAGGCCATGCACCATAAATCCCTTCTGAGCCTCCTAACTCTGACATCAAGGTTTTGGTCACAGTGGAGTTCACTGCATTCATTGAGTGTGCTGCTCTGTCCCCGTTTTATTGATTGCAAAGATGATGGGTGCAGACTTGCACTCGCTTTGTCCAAGTTATTTCCATAGGTCAGGTTGTCTCAACAAAGCTTGTAGGAGAATTCAGGTCTCCTTTGCTGAATTTACCTCCTATCTACTTCCCTTTTCACTGGATGCACTCTCCTCTAAGACAGGTGCCAAAAGCCCGAATGCCCCATGTACATTCATTTAATATTCAGGTGTTTAAACATCATACAGTCAATACAAACCAAATTTTATATATACACACACACACACACACACACACATACACAGACTACATTTATAGCACATTTTGTTCACTCTCCTTCAAGCCTTCAGCAATTTCCATGACTGTAAATATGCCTGTGCATAATAATATGTCCTACCACAGTCCCAGACTGAGGTTTGCTTTGACACTAAAAGCAGAGGTGCAGCTTATCTCAGCCCATTTTTTTTTTTTCAAAAATCAGCCCACATTGGTCCTCCTCTACAACAGCTCTTCTTGGAGTCCTGCTCTGAGCCTGTTATCAAGATTGAGAATTAAGTCCTGTGGATGGTATCCTCTGGCCTTCTGACTCAGCTCCAGCATTTCAGCAACTTCTATTTTTATCCATCTGGGATGATAGCAGACAACTTCCATCAAACACCGGTTGTACTTGTCTCTTACAGCTGATTCTGGACTTCTCCCTGCGCTGAGTCATAAAAACCAATTTAACTGTGTTTCAAATTTTGGTTCAATCTAAAATACAGATATGTGTGTATATATCTTCTGCATGCACAAGGCATCACTCAATGTGGTAAAATCTCGTTCCCATTTGTTATAGTGAAACCAGGACCCCACCCAGGAGTTTAAGGTTGAGAGGGGACTACTGTAACCAACTATCATCATTTCCAGCCAGAAAACGCTGCATTGAATTTCTCCTTCCTCTTTGAAATAAGCAATACTTTTTAGAAAGATAGCCACTCTTGACTGAAAAAATTAAAGTGAAAGGACACCATTTTTCCTCTACAGAACTGCCCCACTAGTTACTTGCTGGAGATTAATTTTTTGTTTTCAGTAAAATATGCCACATGACACACATCCATCTTACAGAAATTGCTGTCTTGTGTATCCCTGTGTATTCAAATCCCTTTTGATCCTGCTCCCTCAGCAGAGTATATCATCCCACAGAGACATACCAGATTTTTTTTTTAATTTTATTTTTTTTAGGAAGAATCTTATTGTGTACTTCTGGCATGGATTTTCTTTCTCAACTGGCATTAATCCAGGGTCTGAGCTGGTGGGATGAGATCTTGATGTGTCTGTGAATACCACCAAGCACTGGAGATTGTGTTTGTGTTGGGACCTGGTCTCTGAAAGGAGAGGCATTATCTGCAGCACTGTAGAAAGGGTTCATTGATGGAGAAGGTGAAAAATAACAACAATCTCATGGAGAATTGCTCCATTTTGTTCATTGGATTATTTCCTATACCCATAGAAACCCAAGGTTCATAGTCTGTTCATGCCCCATGTCAGGACATGGACATGTTGGATTCCCGAGGAGGCCACCAGGATGATCAGAGGGATGGAGCAGCTCTGATTTGAGGAAAGTCTGGGTGAGTTGTGATTGTTCTGGAACAATCTCTGTTCTGGAACAGAGAAGGCTTCAGGGTAACCTAATTTCAGGCTTCCCATACATGAAGAGAGCCAACAGAAAAGATGGAAAGGAACTTTTTACTGGAGCATGCAGTGACAGGACAAGGGGGAACAGCTTCAAACTGAAAGACAGTAGGTTTAGATAAGATTTGAGGAAGAAATTCTTTACCCAAAGGATGGTGAGACCCTGGCACAGGTTGCCCAGAAAAGCTGTGGGTGCCCCATCCCTGGAAATGTTCAAGGCCAGGCTGGATGGGGCTCTGAGCAGCCTGGAATAGTGGAAGGGGGTAGGATATGTCATATGGCAGGGGGTAGGGAATGGATGATCATTGAGGTCCCTGCCAACACAAACAATTCAGTGGTTATATGGTTCTATGACTAGTACTAAGCAGGGCAAGATTTCATTTTAAAGCCATATATAGTATTTAAAACAACACAAACTCAGAGTTATTAAGACACATCAGAATTCAGAAGAAAATCCTGTAGCCTTTTTTATTCGAAAAGGCATTGTGAAGCATTTGACATTTTGGTGTGTCAAAAAGGTTAAATGACTACCTGATAATCATGTAGCTGAACACTGGCATCCATTTGATAAAAATATAAAGGCATTTGGAAGTTAGAGCAGATCAAAGGGCACCAAAAAACATTTCATTTATATGTTGAAAAATCAGTGTGATGTCACACTTTTCAAAGGCCTTGCAAACAAGGCCTCAGAAGGAAAAAAAATTATTGCAGAGGCTTATTAGCAGCATTAGTAGACACTGACAGTAACCCCAGCTTGGCAAGAAAATGAGAATAATAAAATAGAATTTTGTTGGCATTGCCCCAGAAAGTCAGTAACTCATCAGAAAGAAAATTATTTTTCAAAAAACATCAGAGTTGCATGTGGTTTCAGATGAGTCTACTGTCTCCCCATGAACATCACATTTTACTGAAAGAGCACATGTCTTAAAAAAAAAAAGGAATTAAGTCTCAAAAATCTCTCCCAAGTGCTTTGGAGGCTCCTGAGAAAGACTGGAATGCTGATGGCTCAATTAGGGGGCAGTTAATGATGTGCAAAGTACCCAGCCAGGTGCAGAGGGGAGGACACAGCCCCGCCTCAGGCTGCAGCTGGGTGTTGAACAAGGTAAGGGAAGAGGCTGATAAGAGGCAGATCCATCGGGTGATGCTTTTTATCGCTCCAAAGTCCTTACACAAATGGCTCAGCTGTGAAAACTTCAAACTTCCCTCCGGGACAAGTCACACGTAGCCTCAAGGTTTTCCTCCCTTCTGATGGGGCACCATTGATCAAACTCAGCTGACTTGAGAGGCAGCTGTGGCACCTTGGGAGCTGCCATGGACCACCAGAGACTCACAAATGTTCCCTGATCCACAGAATCACATCATCCAGTTGAAACTCCCTGCCTGAGGAGAGGTATCTGGGCGTTCCTGCCAGAACCTGGGTGTTTATAACCCATGGAACTTCAGTCTTCCCTTGGTTTACTCCACCCCTGACAGACTGAGACTGTGACCATCACTTTGACCAACAGGCACTGAAACTGCAGCAACCAAACCTCGTTGTGAGGGCCGTGGGCAGTGAGACCCTTCTACTCTTTCTTTTCCTTACACATTTTCTTAAGACATCTTTTATGCTTTTATATTGCTATATCACTATAGGTAATAATAACCAAAATGGCTACATAATTGATTTTCATTGCAACCAAATTGTTCTAAAATAAACCCTATTTATATATATATGTATATATATACACACACACACATATTTACAAGCACCAATCACTCAGTGTTGCTTCACTCTAATCCACCTCAAGGGACCTATTAACAAGAACCTGCTTTGCCCTTGCCTTCAGGGGTGGGTCACAACAGCTCTCAAGGCCAAGCTATCAGAAACAGAAAGTTTAATGCATTTATCACTATTCTGCCCCTGAGGGGAAGGGCTCTGTACACATGCTGTTTGTGCTCAGATATGTTTCACAGACAGTGATATAAAACTACAAATACCTTTGTAATGGAAAATCTTGGAAAGGATCAAAGGATTGCCACATTTCCACATCTTCTCTTTTCCACTTTGCATGTCCATCTCTTTGAAAATCACTGTAGAAATGGACCTGTTGATACAAAGGAAGCTGATTTGGGCCCACTACAGTGTGATGTGTGTAGCACAGCCTTCCTGTTTACATCCCACTCTGCACTGCTTATTTCTACCTCACCCAGCCTCAGCTTTACCTCTCAGAAGTGCAGCCCAGACTGATGCAAAAAGAAGAAAAAAAAAACCCTAGGGGTTACAGAATCAAACTTTTAATTAACATCAAATTCCTGTAGAGTGCTAGCATCTTAAATTGCTGGTGTTTAACAGCATAAGCAATTTCTGGTGCCTCAGCAAGGTTTGGAAATAAGAACTGGCAGAGGCAGATGGTGCAGATGAATATGCACCTCATTGACATGAAAAAAGGATATTACAGCTATTTCTTACCTAGAGGTAAGTTTCTCAAAGGCTGAATTAACAAAATCACAGTGCTCTGATTAGATTTCCATGTTAGTTTTTGTACTAAGGTCACTTGTGAATCTCAGGATTTTTCATGGAAGGATTTAGGCAACAAAATACCTGCCTGGTTTGCAGGATCCCAGATCCAGCAGCCAGCATCAATTCCCTGTTTTCATTGGTTCTTCACCCAGCACAGGACAGTGGGGGGTTCTTCTGTCTTCAAGACTGAAAGTCTTGAAGCCCCCCAACCCTCCCTGAAAATGCAACATAGTCCATCATCCAAAAGCCACGGACAGGAGGCTCTTTCCATTTCAGAGCAAAGCTGTAGCTCTCACAGATGTCATGCTCTTAAACAGAGGCACTGGGATCAGTGTTTCCCTCAAAGCAAGATGTATCTTACCCTTTGTGTTATTGCTGTAATTACAAGCTTCAGAAGGAGAAGTCTTCAACCCTACTGTCAAAAGAAGAGGGGGCACAATCTTCACTGGCCTGAAGTGTAAAAGCACAGGAGGATTGGTCTGGTCTGGTTTCATGAGGAAAGGGGAGGTCTGGGTTCCTCTCACTGCCTCTGTGCCTGTTAAATGTAAAGTGTGTGAAAAGCTCTTGGAGGAAGATCAAAACCAGATCGGGATCCCAGATGAACTTTGGTGCAGAACCTGGAAAACACTGCTGTAATTACTGATAGATGTGTGTGTTACCAGTGTGAGTTGAACATGGGATTTTAAACTCATAATTTTGGGCTTGGAAGCTTGCCTTCCATGTTATACTTACTGCAGGAGTCAACTCCAACTCTTCTCACTTTCCAATAGTACCTTCTGAAGACAGTGAGTCTGCTGAGCGAGGAGATAATCTTTTATTCAGATCAACATCTGAACTGAATTAACAGCAGCAGCCATGAAAGAGGTGAAGGAGGATTCCAATCAACAGCCTTAAATCAGCTTGGGCTTCACAGGTCTGATGAATTTCCCTTGAAGAAAACTCATCTCCACTGGATTCTGCATTGTCTCAGCTGTAGCTAAAATCCCAGAATTGCAAAGCCTGCAGTAAAACTCCAGTTGCAAGAATAAGTGTGTATTTACTTCTATAGAGCATGAGAGATTCTGCTGAAGATTTTACAGGTGGTTTTATTTACATCTGTGTCAGGGAGGTCAGAATCTCATTCAAAACATTCTGGATTTTGTGTTGGCTAGCAAAAATGTTCACACTAACTAAATCTCTCCTATAAATCACCTTGACAGTCCTCATAATTCAACATAATAGGGTTCTTTGCAGAAAGAATTGTCTCTCAGCTGATGCAAGAGGATGGACAAGATAACCTAAGAGAGCTCTATGTCTATGAAAAATTAAATTCTTGACATTTTTCTTATTCCATTGAATTCCACCCATTCAGGAGAAGTTATATCCAAATCATTAGGGAAATTTCCCTCCATTAGCTCTCCAAATCTCTTGGCTAGTCAGTAAGGTGATGCAGTCTCTTGCTCAACATTTTCTGTCTTTATTTATTTTGTTCCAAGAGTCATTATTCTACATTTATCTGCACTGAACTGGATTTGTCACCTTTTTGCCCAATTACTTAAATGATCTAAGACCTTCTGTGTCTGACTGCATTGTTCTTCACTGTTTACCTCTCCTCGCCCACTCCTGTCACCCAGAAATCTTGCTTTCAATAATTCCCAAGTCATGTCTGCAAATAATAAAGCATTTAAAGAGCCATAGTATAACACTCATAGTGAAATGCCTTCTCACTTGAGACACAGAAAATAGACATAATTTCTTTATGTTTTACACATCTTAGTCTGATGTCTTCTTGTCACTCTCTGCTACCCACAGCCTTCAGATGCAAAAGGCACATATTGAAGCTGCCAATGCAAACATTAATTTGTGAGCTGACTACCTCAGGGTCATAAATCAAAGGAATATCTTCTGCCTAACTGGACTTCCTAGGTTGCAAAATAACCCTATGGGTACACTGGTGGCTGTGAGGCTTAGTAATTATGCAGATCTTTTCTGCCTACTTGAAATGGTAGGGAAAAGAAATGATGCAGTGACTTCCTTCAGAGCTGCAATGTCCCACCCAGCTAGAGAGAACCCCTTCTCCTCACTGGTATGGCACATTCTAGGATAAAGCCAAGCTGGTCAGGTCAAGCTTTTCCTCATTCTTAGGGTAACATCTCTGCAAATCTTCTGAGAGAGATGTTTTTGACTGCAGAAAAAAAAAAGTTCAGAAATTTTTTCAAAAAAAAATACATCAATATCATTGGCCTGGAAAAACTTACTGCAATTACATTTAGCCACCCACCAACAATAGATCAGTGCAGAATTACTGTGCTGCTCTTAAAGAGTTTAAACAGACTAGCACAAACTTTGGACAAACAGCAATAAGCCATTAGAAAAGCCAATAAAACAAAAAGTAAAATATCTGCCATTACAGCATCATTGCTTCTAAGGTGTTTCTCTCCCCTGCTGTGTTGATATTAACTTAATTTCTTACTTTTGCTCCAAAAATTCCTTTCTGCACATAGGTCGGTGGTGGGTTGATGAGCCATCAGAAGATAACTTATCTTCCAGTTTACTTCTGGATTCTGGTCTTTAGCCTGTTCACAAGGCTAACCAAGATGAGAGACAGAGGAGGACCACTGGGTTATGTTCCCCCACCAGAATAAGGGTAGGTAGCTAAAGGGAGGCTGAGAACTCGGCAAATTTCCTTGGTAGCTCTGTTTGGCTGCTTCTGCCCAAAAACCCAATCAACTGGTATGAGCAGCCCATATCTGGAAGCTTATCTGGCTGCAGGTTTGAAAAGTTTGGAGTGTCTCTTGAGCTGAACTGTATCAAGCCTCATAAAAATGTGAGCAATCACAAGAAACTTACCTAAGTGGGAGACATCAGTCCACTAGGCACCTGAATTTGAAAACAGCAGAGATGCTTTCCTGGTGTATTGCCAAGAACCTGTTTTATAGTTTTGAAAGACATACTCTGGCCATTACAGCTCCTTGAAACCTTCAGAAGTGACCTATAACACATTTTACAATGCCTTTTATAATAAAATAACTGAGGACAATCACCTTTCTACTAGAGTAGTTAAGATGGAAATACTGGATTTGTCCACGTTAGAGTTGTAGTGGAGACCAGTTGGAAAATTCACTTGGAAGTGAATTTCTCAGTCACACTTGCTGCACTTCCCTGCACAGAATGGAATTGCACCTGATATTTATTTCATTTTAGATTAAACTGAACAAAAAGAACTGAACAACCTCAAGCACTTGAGCCACAAATGGTAATCTATGAGATCAGTCTACAGAGACATTGTACTGTGTGAATGTCAGATATCCAGGTTGGGTTGGTTATTATTTTATTGCTATGCTGGCAGTTGAGGTCTGAATTACATTTCCCAAGAAAACACACCTGCTTACACCTATAAGGTCATTGCCACCTCCTGATGGCTTTATACTGACATGCAAAAAATCCCTGTCAGAAAAGACCAGCAAGAACATGGTAGTGTGAGGACTGTGGAGTATTGTGAACTCTGAAAAACATGTGAGAGGAGTTAGGAAAGGATGTTGCTGCTGGGGAAAAAAAAATTAAAAAAAAGTTAAAGGAGATATAGGGAAATCAGAGGGAAACTGAAGTAATGAAGAAAAGTTTAGAGTGTGAAAGTGAGATAAACTGTAGAAAGTGCTACAGGAAATGGCAGAGGAACAAACCCTCTCTAGGCTGCCAGAGAAGAGGATACATTTTTAGGTAATTTCTTTTCCTTGTGGATGGACAAACCCAGTTATTTTTACTTTCAAATGAAATATCTTGTTCTGGACATGGACAGCACTGTCTTCCCTTTTCAAAAGGCATGAAGACTATAGCCTGAGTTAGCCAAATTTATTTGTTCATGGATGGAAAGGAAGGAGTAGCACAAATACACAGACACACACAAACACCAAACTAACTCACCACAAATTCTGAGCACTTCGACCCTCCTATTCTTCACTCTGCTCACTGAGAATCATAATTAAATCAGGTTGCAAAGTCTTCCAGTGTAGAAACCACATCAGAACTATTACTTTTCTTCCCCTGAAACCCCTCAGCATATTTTTTTCAGCTTTAAAAATGAATAATCTTCACCTCTACCTGTGAACCTGAGATCAGAAGTCTGTGACACATCCTTCACTCGTGATCAATAAATGAGATCTTTCGCCATCTGCAGCAGTTCATTTCAGTCTTGATTCTTCCTCAAGTTTCCAAGCTTACAATGCCATGGATGAAAGGACATCGAAATAAAATGCATGAGCAGATATTTTCCCTTCCTTCCTTGACACCCTGCACAAACTCTCAAAGCCATGATGATTGTTTGCATCATTATGAGCAGCAATATTCAAACAACAAACATTATAAAGCTACCGATGGACTTGTTGAGGCTGCTGGAAATGCCTACAACTGGTCAGTGCTACTGAATCCTAAGTCAAGCCTTTTCATATGTTTTTTTAGGGCAAACTATGGAGATATTGAAGGGACTGGCAAAGCCCAGTATTCATTCACAACTTAAGACTGTTTCCCTCCCATCAGCCCTAATGGAAAAAGGAATCAGGAGCAAAGCCCTTCCTTCCCCTTGGCTCCCCTCCTCCCTTCTACAGTCAGGGCTGGTGGAACACGCAGCAGAGACATGCTGCATCCCATTAGGGGTTGTAGCAGTAAACAGACTCTCCAGCAACACCAGGGATTGTCATGTTCTCGAGTGCAGTCACTAACAAACAGCTGAGAAGTTTCTGGATGAGCAGTTCACAGAGGCTGCAGCAGAGGTTACCACTTTGCTCAGCACCACTGTTTGTCAGCAGAGCTCCCTTCTCCCAGGCTCTCTCTACTCTGCAGATGCTGCTCATTGAGAGCCCAGCTCCCCCAGCACTGAAATGCAGGCAGATGAAAACCAAGAGAACAGGGGAGCACAAGCCATGTGTCAGGAGACGGGGGAATTTGCTGGTCCCCAGTCTCTCACAAATTCACAGAACTGCCCATTTTTTATTGTCGTCCTTAGCAGATCTTTAGGAAATATCTCTGTGGATTGACTGTCCTTTGCTCTTTCATTGGATTTTGGGTTGGAATATCCAATAACAGTTATTTCTTGTGCTGAGAGGGCAGGAGTATGCCCACCTCTAAAGAAACAGCACTTAGGAGTTCTTGCTTTTCCTGCCTGTTGGAGAAGAGAGGATCGTCATCATGCTTACCTCTTTCTGGAGCTCACACAGAAACTGGGGAAGGAACTAAATTTAATTTGGCAGGCTTGGGAGGAATGATAATGTAGAGTCTTGAGGCTCTATTGGTGCTTCATCAATTACCTCTGGAGTGCCATTTCAGCCTTTTGAGCACTGGGTAATGCCCATCATGAAAGCAGATGGGGTAGGGAGAGCAGTGCATATGCAGAGAATGACTAGCTGCAGGCTTGCCTGCTGTAAATAAGGCACATCCAAGTTAATTTAACAAGCCTATCAGTTCAGAACATCAGCAGATTTTGAACCTAAGAAGCCCAGTGTCACAATATAAACTGATACTTGAATTTCGTTGTCATATTCCATTTAGACATCTATTTTAACAGCAGCCAATTCCACCTGAGTCTATGTGAGTCCAAGCCTTATATTTCCCCCAAGAAAAAATTTCCATGAGTATTCTCAAAATATTTTAACTCTTAGCTTTTTTTAAAAAAACTTTCTTTTTTTGAGAGAGAGAATTTTTGTCTATCACAGAAGTTTTTTTTCTGTCACAGAAATATGAGACCTTGTTTAAAAGTTTCAGTTTATATAGTGTTGTACATTTTTCTCTTAATCCTTGCACAATAAAAATTTTCCACTGGCACTTCACTGCATCTGGCTAGCTTGATGCTTTTGTAGGTTTGCAGTTTCTGTCTTCTTTTGCTTATTCCATTAGAAAAGTTGGAATTGGCCTGAAGTCCCTAGTAGCTTGAGTTAATTTGGGACTAAATAGTGTCAAAAATTCCAGAAATTACACTAAAGAAATGTTCAGGCAAGAACTTTCTCCCTCTAAATACTCCATCATGACAGATTCCCAGGACACATTCCTTCTCAGTCCCTCCAGAACTGGACTAATCAGTTACCTCAGACAAAATTCACTTCCATAAGTTTTCCTGTTCACAGTGTAGATGTTTGCACCCAAGTGGTTTAACCTCCCATGGGGACCTTGGGGTTCACCATAGCTCTGACCAAAGATGAGCATTTCACCAAGGATAGTGAAATTTATCATGTCCTGATCTCAACTGACCATATGGGACAGTTCTGCACTACCTTTAGAGGAGGTGGGGCTTGCTCAGGTGGGGATGGAATGGCTGAAATGCAGATTAACATATTTAGCCACATGTGTTTTGGGGAGTTGTACAGCCAGTGCGAGAGAGGAGCACGCTCAGGGTGGGTGGCATCGTAGCAGGCAGACTCCAACATATCCCTCCTGAGGATGTTCAAACACATTTCAGCAGCTAATAATTAAAATTAATGGGGATGAATTTTAATAGGAGTAGCAGAAAGCACATTTCTGGCACAAGGGGGATGTCATGTCTGCCGTGGAACATCTGGACGCTCCACCTCCCAAAGAATCCCAGGAAACTGGGAAAAATAAGCAGTTTTCCCATTTCCTTCTTATATCTTACAGACAAATATTTTTTGCTAAAATTAAGGGAGAGTTTTTTGGGGAAAGAAATAATATTAAAAAACAACAACCTCAAAACAACTAACAAAATAATAATTAAAAAAACAAAACAAAAAAAAACTCCAGAAAGAAATATCTCATAAATGGGCAGATAGAATATTTCAGACAAAGCAGTTACAGCTATTCCACTGTTGTATGAAAATCTGGCAAAACTTTCAAAAAGAGGGGTCATTCAGAAGTGACAGTGTTGTGAAGCCTAATGGGCTGAACTGTGAGCTCTGACTGTTCTTGTTCCTGAATAAAGGCCCAGCTAAGATTTAAAGCCTCACATTAAAACTGCTCTCATTTGCTCCTTCATTTTGAGAGGGGCTATTCCATAGACAAGAGGTTAATAATAAGATACTGGAAAGGGTTCAGAAGGTGATTGAATGGCTTAGGTTAAACAAAGATTTACTGTACACAATCATTTGCTGCTCTAATTGCATCCAAGTGTATAATGTTTGATTGCCCAGGTTTTCTTTCACAGCACCTTTAAATTGTTGTTCCACTGCATGTGAAATGAATGGGACTTGGTATTTAAAAACACTGTATGCTGAGCAAACCACTAACAAGGGAGATGTTTTTATTATGTATTTAATGGGATAAAGATCACCATAGGTTATCTCATAAGAACCTTCCTTTGTCTGAAAGAACATAGTTTTTAAAAATAAACAGATTTTCCTGTGGAAAAGCCAGCTTCTTGAAAGCTTGTGGGAGACTTTGATTACAAATTGAACCACTAGGGAACCACTGTCTTTAGTTTTATTTAGCCCTGAAAGAGCTTCTTATTCCAGGATGGGTAGGCAGAGGTTGGCATCAGAATATGCAGGACTGCAGGGATACTGAGTCCTGTGTGTCACTCTGCGTGGCATTTCTTTGCACAGATTCATCCCTCTTCATTGCACAGAAGTCATGAGAGCAGATGCATCTGATTTACTTGCTTTTCCTCCAGAAGGGCATGTCTTGGTGTGGAATACTGTCCTTTTTTTTGGCATCAGTCAGGATGTCACTGTATGAAACAGCCAAGGACCTTGAGACAGTCACTGGCTGAGCCTGGGAAGCTGTTATGTGTCTCATGATGTGCCTTGTGATGTTTTCCATCATGAAATTATTGAATATAACAACTTTTTTTTTCCTTTTTTTTTTTTTTCCCAAAAAGCTATTCTTTTCAGAACTGAGAGTCCCAAAGCTTGATATCTGCTTACCAACATTTAATCTCTACCTGAGTGGAAGTGGGCAGAGGTGCAGGGCATACAGGGCTGACAGACACATTCAGACACTGACCACTACCTGGCTGAGCTGAGCCACAAGTCCAGTGCACCCAGAGGATTGCCAAGGGGATCTGCAGCATGAAACCAAGTGGTTTCTTTTCAGTTTGGGGAAAAAAAACCCAACGTAATTATGGGGCTCCACAAGCTCTAGATGAGGTCTTGCCTTTTTAAAGAGCTCAGAGATGTGGAAAACTATGGAGAGAGCAACAGGTTAAATGAACAGG